CCCGCTCCCTCCTAGCATTGCTCAACTTTGGGATGCCTAGTGCCCACAGCATTTCAGCCCATAGCAAGATCTCTGCTTGAAGGAGAATGAGTGTTTCTTGATGGGCGGAGCGTGGGGTGGTGTTACCTTCTCCGGGACGTGCCCCCCACCCCGGGGATCAGAGCTTCATCTCCCCTAAAGAAGGTGGGCTCCACTAAGCAGGACACAGGTATTTTGGGTAGTGGATGAGTACCATCCTGTGACCGCAGGTGCTTGTCCCAGATGCAGACAGAGCCCAGGCCACACCCAGACCAGGGACCAGGAAGCCTCAGGGCTATGCCCTGGGGTCTGTGTCTTGGCATTTTCTGGGAGAGTCGGGTTCAGCTGCTTGTGCGACGGGGGGGCTGGTCATTGCTGGTGGCTCTGCTTGGCTTGGGCTCCCGCACCCTCTGCGCTGTCCTGGCTCCTTTTGACATCGGTGCCCCTCACCGACCCCAGTCAAATGCGAGTTCCTCTGAGGGCCTGGGCTGGAACGTACACTCTGTTCCTTCCTTGTACTTTGCTCGTGCTCTTGAAGACGGCAGCTGCTCAAATGCTGGTGGAGACAGGAGCGTCTAGGGCAGGTGCGGAGCAGGGGCCCGTAGGAGGGCAGCCCTGATTCACCGCGGTCGCTGGTCCCGTGTGTAAATGCTTGCACCCCGTGGCAGCTCTCGGGCCACCCATGTGATGTCACTCACGAACTGCAGGGCTGGGAAGATGTGAGTCCGTTCCCGAGGGCTCCAGCACCTGAGGCCCCCAGGGTCCCCTGAATCTGCCGGGACATCCTCCACCACCTCCTTACCATTTCCAAATCTCACTCCAAGAAAGAGAGCGAGAGCAAGGGCGGGAGAAGGGAGGAGGCAGACCAACAGAAGGGGTTGGCAGGCCCGGCTGGGAGGAGGGCTCGCCCTCTGGCAGGCAACGTGACCCACCAACCCCCCCATGAGGCTCCACTCCCGCCGCCTGCTCTAATAAACTTGAAACTCCAGTGACTTAAGTGAAGATTTCAGATTAACATTTAAATTAACACCGGACTGGAAATCTGGAGGCCCAGGTCGCTGATGTGACTCTGTTAACTTGTTCTGTGACCTGGGGCAGAAATTTAAAATGATCTTTTCTCATCGAGCCGCCCCTCCATGGGGAGGTCAGGGATGGCAGACCTGGAGGACTCCCTCCCTCCCAGCCTGTCCTAGAAGCTAGAGCCTTCCGTGCAGGTGGGGATCCCCTTTGACTCTGAGATGCTCTGCTTGACCAGTGAGTGTGGACCCTCCCCACCCCGGGGGTCTGGGACTCCAGGCAGTGGGGGACACAGGCCAGAAAGGCAGGAGTCATGGTCCTCCCTGACCACCAAGGCTTGGGGATGACCAGTGGCCCCGCCATCAGCTCAGGCCCTCTGGGGGTCCCTCTTCACAAGCCCTCCTTTACAGGGCCTCTCTTGGTGCCCCTGAATCCCGAGTGGAAGGGAACAGGTGTTAACATATGACCAGAGGGCCCCAGGGGCCAGACAGCTCCAGCCTTGTGGGCTCTCTAGAGCCAAGACTATCCCAGATCAGGCTGGAGTCTGAAACGTGGTTCTGCAACACAGAGCAGCGAGACCTTAGGGCTCTGGGATCCCAGGCCGTCACCAGGTCAGGTTGGGGATTCCAAGAGTCTGGACTCTTCCAGAGGGTGGGGGAAGGGGCCCGCCTTGCGCATGCCTGACGCTCTACAGACGCTGTAATCCTCGGCCTAGGATGAGGGAACTAACCGTAAGTCGGGTTTGTCCGGGCGTACGGTAAGCTGGGAACAGCAGTGGTTGGGCAGTGTGTCCTGGAGGACGGGGCATCGCTGTCCCCGTCAGCGGGAGGCCGAGCCCTGCAGCAATTCCCCGGCTGTATCTCTGCACCCCCTGGTCCCGGGGGCCCTGGCTGAGCTCATCGGGGCTCCTGCTGTGGGCTGGGAGGGGCAACACCAGGGCCGAGGGCGAGTGCCCCCTCTCTCTTCAGGAAGATCCTGGAACAGGGTCCAGAGCCAGGCCTAGCTGTCAGGGACAGGGACAGGAAGTGTGTGTTCTCTGTGGCCGAGCGTGTGGCTAGGCGTTCCCTCGCTGGGGATGGAGGGACACCTGCGGCGGGAGGAGACAGTGCCGAGGGGACAGCCCAGGCGGTGACTAACGCTGCTGGCAAGAGGCTGACGAGCCTTCCGTCTCCTGCTGGTGGTGGCCTTGGAGAGACAGGCTGTTTTGTTCGGGGCACATTATGCCCAGAGACCGAGCTTGTCTTTGCTGATAATTTATTTAACACAGGTTCACTGCGGGAATGATAATACTAATACCTCACAAGCCAGTAGTAGACAGGATAATGTCTCTCTTTTTTAAATTAATTTATTTTTTAATTATGTTACGTTAATCACCATACATTACATCATTAGTTTTTGATGTAGTGTTCCATGATTCACTGTTTGCGTATAATACCCAGTGCTCCATGCAGAATGTGCCCTCCTCAATACCCACCACCAGGCTAACCCATCCCCCCACCCCCTCCCCTCTAGAACCCTGTTTGTCTCTCAGAGTCCACAGTCTCTCATGGTTCGTCTCCCCCTCCGATTTCCCCCCTTCATTCTTCCCCTCCTGCTATCTTCTTTTTTTTTTCTTTTTAACATATAATGTATTATTTGTTTCAGGGGTACAGGTCTGTGATTCATCAGTCTTGCACAATTCACAGCGCTCACCATAGCACATACCCTCCCAATAATGTCTCTTAATAAGCCAACAAAGAAATAACACACTCTGAACCAATGATGATAGATTAATTGCACCATTGTTCCAGGCAAAGGTGGGATGAAAGAAACAAAGCCCAGGTGTAGCCGAGGTGGACTTCTCTATCGCTTGTTCCTCGGTCGAGTCACTCCTTCCAGCCAAATGCTGGGTGCCAGTTGCCTGGCAGGTCCCTCGCTGCTGGGCACTGCACCGGTGTGGGCAGGGAAGGCGGGCTGTTCCCGAGCGTCTCTCTCCAGGGACCACTGCACACCTGCAGCCCACCAGCACAAGCCTGGCCACGGCGGGAACAGGTGTCTCGAGATCTTCCGAGAGCTACCGAGATGAGTAAGGAGCAGACTTGCCCAGACAGAACACTCTTCGGAAGGCCTCACGCGTTCTCGGTATTTAAGCGCTAAGTGAGATCACGTGATAACAGCTGCTCGGTAGGTTCCTACTGAAAAGCACTCAGTAGCTCAGCGATTTTTTTTTTTAGAGATTTTATTTATTTATTTGACAGAGAGAGACACAGTGAGAGCAGGATCACAAGCAGGGGGAGAGGGAGAGGGAGAAGCAGGCTTCCCGCAGAACAGGGAGCCCGATGTGGGACTCGATCCCAGGACCCTGGGATCATGACCTGAGCCGAAGGCAGACGCTTAACCGACTGAGCCACCCAGGCACCTTTTGGTTTTTTTTAAAGATTTTATTTATTTATTTGAGAGAAAGAGTGAGAGAGCACGAGAGGAGGGAGGGTCAGAAGGAGAAGCAGACTCCCCGCTGAGCAGGGAGCCCAATGAGGGACTCAATCCCAGGACTCCAGGATCATGACCTGAGCCGAAGGCAGACGCTCAACGACTGAGCCACCCAGGCGCCCCAGCTCAGCGATTTTGATGACATCATCCTGACACGGCCTCCCCAGTGTCAGCAGTTTCTTTCTGGGATCAAAACAAGTTATTCAAAACAGGTTCAAACCACATACAACTCTGTCCGAAACAAGCTTGCAAAACAATTTGAAGTCCCCACCATGAGACGCGTGTGGTCCTGGGGACACAGACAGGACTTATCGTTCCATAATAGGTAATCAAAGTGGTCCACGGCTGCTCACAAGGGCTGAGAGTCACCTGGCCAGGAGGGATGGAGGCGGGACGGCGCCCGGGCTGGCCCACGCGCCCCAGCGACTCAGGGGTGAATCCTGGGGAAAGGTGCTTGATCTCCCAGTCCCGGCCGAGAGATGGGGGTGGTCCTGGGGTCGCTCTCACGGGGCTGTGTGCGTGTGGAAGGCACGCCACGTGGGAGCACAGCTTAGTCCACGCCTGGAAGGCAGGGAGCAGACAAGGGTGTTAGCGGCCGGCAGGATTCTGGTTGGCTTTGTTCTCACCGGTGCGGGCTGAGCCCTCAGCCGTCCCGTTCCGATGTCTGATCAGGAGATAGCGCTAAAGTGGTGGGGTCTCCGGTGCCAGAATTCACATTCCGGGCATTTAAAGGTTATGCTGTTCTAACAAAGGGACTGAAATGTTTGAGTAAGAACGTGCTCATGCCTCCTTCTACACCAGAGCAGTCCTGAATGGTGGGGGCCTCGCTTGGGAGGAGGGGGTCTTTCAGAAAGCCAGGTTCCTCCAACACCCCTCATCCACGGTTGGGGCAAAGACAGCAAGTCCAGAATCAGTTTCCTGTTGAGCAAATGAGGCTGATGTTGGAGGCATCATTTCATTTACTTGTTAATGGTGACAATTCTCAGCTGGGCAGGAGGTACCTAGAAAGAAGGGCTAAATTGGCCATATAGCCCATTAGAGGTAAGTTTCAGAGGCTCCCTGAGGTTTTAAATCCAGCAAAAATGTGTCATTGGGAGCAGGGCCCAGTTTGGGGCAAACCTTTCCCATAATGCAGAGGTTCCCTGAGTGTAATTAATGCGGCCCAGTGGGGCTTGGGGATCTCTGACAGGCTAGGAGCAAGGGTCTCTCTATTCTTTAAAAAAGCATATTTTAAATGAAAAAGTCAACTGTATGTGGTTTAAAAAAAGACACTGTACGAAAGAGTATACAAAGAAAACTAGTCTCAGTCGACTGTCTTTGAAAACTCTGCACATTTCTGCTTGTGGAGAAGCAGTCAGAGGACGAGAACCATTCCCTGTTTCTGGGAAGTGTGTACTTGCTGAGGGTCCAGCTAGAGAAGGGCTCGGAGGGGGCCTTCCTCTGCCCCTTCCAGAGGTAACAGATGCTTTGTGCCTGGTTTAGCATGCAGGGACCTGATGGACGAGGTGGAGTATGATGTCACCAAGGCTCGGCAGAAGAAGACCAAGGTGGGCTCCTTCCGAATAAATCCTGACAGGACGCAGGAGAGGAGAAAGGTAGCGGAAAAGAAATCATGAGCCAATGTATAATTGCGGATGTGGGCAATTACCAACCATTTATCCAAACAGCAGTTGGTCTTAATCTTGTAACCTTCCTCTTGTTCAGGGTATCAGCTCTAAATTGCTTCTGAGTCCTGGGGGACCCAAAGTAATCTTTAAGCTTGAAATTGAAGTCTCTCTCCCAGCACCTAAATTTTGTGTCTTGTCATGTCTGAAGACATTGCGGCACTGTTGTTCATCAGGATAAAAATAGCACTTCCATGGTTCTCGGCGAGGCCAGCAGGGGTCCCAGAGCAGCTTCCGGGGCTGACTGGAGCCACTAAAAAGCTGAGCACCCTCCCCAGGCTCCCACCCCTCCCTCCAAGGTCTACAGAGATTGCTAGTGGGGTGGGAAGGTAAGACCCATCTCCGTCCGGGACAGACGCCGGCACTTGTCCGAAGGGAAAGAAGGATGTGCTTCCTCGCAGAGACCCTCTGGCGGCTCTGACAGTGGGTCTGAGAAGCTGGGAGGGTCGGGTGGGGCCACTGTGAGCGCCGGCTCGTCTCCTCCCCAGCCTGGCACTAAGGTCCTAATGCTCCAAACACGGAAGCCGACTGCAATGCCATCCTAAACAAAATACAATTGGAGAAGTTATTCTACAGCATCACTTAATTCACTCCGAGCTAAACAGAAACAAGTTTGGGGTTTCTTGCTCTTTAGTCCAATGCACTGCACTCTATTTTAGAGCAAATAATCGAAGAGGGCTGTCTGCTTTTTCCCCGTCTTCTGGGATTGCACGCCCATCAGAGAGGAAGGCAGGAGGGGAGGACAAGGTCCAGCAGAGGACTCCATGAGGTGTTGCACTGCGTGAACGTGACAGCCTTTAGGGAGGGCCTCGGTGTGATATTTGCCTCAATCAGGAGGGCGGGACGCTCTCCTCCAAGTCAGCGCATCTGCGAGGGCGGGTGCTCAGGTCTTTCTTGGATTGGTTGTGTCCGCCAAGGACAGACCCCGAAAGTTCAGATCGTGTCACCAAAAGGATCATGCTAACTGCAGGCTGCAGGCCCTGCTTATCCCCAGGTACCCCCCGGCCCCACGGGGTCACAGCAGACTGCGGAGGAGCAGCCCGGGGCCCTGGCGCCCGCCGAAGCAGACCCCCACGGTCAGGCAGGGCAGGGAGGATGCTTGCGGACAGGCCAACACAGCTTCGGAAACGAATGGGGTGTTAAGATCAGAGTAGGTTAAAATGTGGGCTATCTGACACACTGTTAGTGCACCAAGGCCACGAGAAAGGAAGACATCTGTCTTTAAAGAGTAACAGGGCAAAGGGGAGGGTCCCAGGCAGAGGGAACGCGGCAGGTACGCAGAGCTCTGGGCCCGCGGTGGGTGGAGGGCCGCACGGGGCTTGCGGGGGCACACCCGGCCCTCCCGCGTCCTGGCTCAGGTCCCTCCAAACAGAGTCTTATGTTCACCTGGAGAATATAGGCCTGCTCTCCCCTTCCTCCTGTTGCCAAGGACATTCCACTTTGAGTCAATCGGGTTGAAATAACTTGTTCGATTTTGCCGGAAACACTCGGTCTACAGGGCTATTGGAAAGCCATCCTTCCACCGGGTTCATCGGTTTGACCAGGGTGACCTCACAGTCCCGGCTACCAGAAGTGGGTGCTACCCTGGGTCGTGCTCCGCTTGGAGGTGCCGCCGGCCCTGGAGCAGGGCTCCCCCCAGCAGGCGTGTGGGTGGGTCTGCAGTGCCCCGAGAAGGCGGGTCTTTAAAGCCCCCCTGTTTGGGAACCATGTGGTTTTGAGGTCGGGGTGGAGGTCAGTTTTCCTGCCTCTGGCCAACTCACAGCAGAAGGACCCCAACGGCCCCCATTGTTTAAAGAGCCCTGCAACCTTCCCCAGGAAGCTACTGGAACGTCTTGCATCCTCCAACTCAGCTAACTCTCCCCTGCCGTGATTCAAAACCCTGTGGCGTTGTTTTCTTCGGCCAGCAGGCTGCTTGGCCAAACTTGAAATGCAGGGGAGCCTCGCGGCATGAAGTCAGGCCCTTCAAATGCCCATCTTGGATGGGAGCCAGGTGGTTCTTGCTGGTGTGGATCCAGAGGCATTTCTCTGTCCTTCTGCTGTGAGCTTGCAGGATGTGTGTGCTCAGCTTGGCATTCAGCAAGGAACAAAAGAAGCGCCTAGCAGGACACTGAAGGAGGGAGGGTTCGCACCAGCCGCCCAGGCTGGGAGAGGCTTCGGATGCCAGGGTCCCCTCCTGGGCCTCAGGGACGTGGCTGGCCAGACGGGCGACACCACACACCTTCCTGCATTTTTCTGCTTTTTCTCTCCCCTTCTCATTCTGTGTTTCTCCAAGGATAAAAGGAAATGTGCATGCTGTGTCCTCAGAGCAGAGTGGGTCCTTAGAAAGCCTCCCCTTCCTCAGAGCACAAGTGGGAGCGCCCCCTGAGAGAGTCCAGGTTCTGAGGGGACAGAGGATGAAGCGACGTGAGTTGGCCTTCCGAGCACAGCGTGGGTAATAAATGCACAAGATGGCCCACGTCCACGCAGGGCTTTCATTCTGTGTCTGGCCTGGTGCTGGGGCTGGTCTGGCGAGGGCAGCATGGACGGGAGGCACGTGTGCCCCAGCTACTCTGGGCCAGGTCTCGCTTGGTGAGAAGATTCGAGGGGGCATATTCTACCCCCAGAGGGCGGCCAGGGAGAAAGCAGCCCTGAGCTGTGGCCACAGACGCCCTGCCCCTGCGTGCCCGCTGGGCCGCCGCCCCCTTGCTGGCCCCACTGTGTTCTGGTGGGCCGTGCCATCTCCCTGTCCCTTGCTGGCTCTGAGCTGGCCTTGTGTTGAGCCCTCGCTTCGGTCTCTCCTCCCTCAGCATCGTCCACACACAAGCAAGGGCTTGCCTGCCCCTGGGGTCACTCGCTAGAGCCACAGACTCCCAGACGTGGCCACCCACGTGGCCACCAGCAGGATGCTGGGAGGTGGGGACGCTGCAGGAGCTGTCCCTTAGAGGACTGGGTGGGGCCCCGGTGGTCGGGGACAGGGCTAGGGGAGTGGGGGCGCCATGGCAGGTGCAGAGACTCCCAGTTCCCTGGGGCTGCAGCTGACTTCCTGCAAGACCTTCCCTGTGCCTGACCGTTTTTCCCCGGCTGAGCGAGAAGGGAATAACCCCCCAGGGAGTGGCCCCAGGAATGGGGCTTTCAATCCTTCTTGGGATCTTCAGAGTACTTCTCAAGTGTGCTGGGCACAGCTTCTGGAAAGTCCCCAGTGGAATTAGGCCCGAGCTCCTCCCGGAGAGCACGCCTCTACTGGGCCCCCACTTCCCATAGCTCTGCCCCTTCCGCTCCCAAGCCTGGGGGCCCCCAAACACGCAGTCACTGAAGGCCCCCCTCAGGCACACCACCGCTCCGTGGGCCTCCACGTTTCCTTTGAGTTATGCTCACAGATCTGAGCGTGAAAGTGTGGGTGCTCCCGGACGGAGGCGGGAGCCCCTGCCAGCTCTCTACCCAGCATGGGGGCGGTAGCCAGACCCTGAGGGAGGATGCCCCCAAATCTCCGAGTTGTGATGGGGCCAGGCCAACACGCAGCTGCTGCACAGATTCAGCGGGCTGCAGGGGTCCGAGGACCCCCCCCACCTGAGCAGGCTGCAAGGGGATGGCACATGGGGCAGGGGTCTGAGAACTGTCTCCTTTGCTTTGATTGACATCATCTTCCAGGTAGCTCGGAGGCCTTCGGTGTCCGGTGTTAGGGTCCGTACCGGTCCCGGGGAGGGACGCGCAGCACGCGGGCCACCATCCCCAGAGACTTATGTACGAGGCTGTGCTGGGAATGTTCTCCCTGCTCCTCGTTCCAAATGGAGACACTGAGTTCACACACAGCCACGTTTTGTCTGACGTTGTTAAGGAGACGCGCGCGCCTGTCCTCCTCTTGCCGGTGGCGTCCCTGCAGGCGAGTGGGGCAGAGGGCGCACCGAGCCCTCCCCCGGTGCCCGGTGCCGCACGAGCGGCCTGTCCCACCAACACCTCCCCTGCTCCGTGACAACGCCAAGCCCATGTGGCAAGGGGCAGTGCCATGGGCTCCTCGGTCCCGTCTTCCTTGTTTTCAACAACTGGGTGGACGGCTGGTGTTTCCACACAGTGAGCGACACAGCACAATCCAACCTGGAGGCAGTTAGGTTTTGTTTGCTTGCTCAGCAAGCGTGTATCCTGCTCTCCTAAAAACTACAACAGCCAGACCTGCAGGAGTGGGGTGGAAGCGAACCTGTGCTCTCGTGGTGGAGACCGGAGTCAGTGGTTTGCGGACGTACAGTCCGTCCACTGGACACAGGACCTCCAGTCCTATGCGCTCCTGCCTGGCGGGGCCCCGGACACGTCTGTGTCGGGTACGAGCAGGAGATGCAAATGCAGAGCCTGAAGGCCGGCTTTGCCTCGGCTGACGGAGAATATGCCAAGTTCTCTAAACTTGCAAAGTTCAAACAGCAAATCCCATCAATCGATAACGATGATGGTGTAGACTAGAAGGTAATGCCTTTTTTGGTAGATTCTTTTGACACGTCTGGAAGGTAAATAAGGCCACTTTAATTGGCTTCATTTTCTTTTTTTTTTTTCCAAGTAATTTCCACGCCCAACGTGGGGCTCGAACTCACAACCCCAAGATCAAGAGTTGCATGTTCTACTGATGGGGCCAGCCAGGCACCTCTAATTGGCTTCATTTTAGAAATACAGTTGAGGCTCAGAAAGCTTTAGTGACTCCCTAAATTTTGGCAAACTGGTATTAATTTAATTTGCTGGTAAGTCAATTTAGACAGATTCCACATCATTTGCTATCCATAGAGCTACCACATCCTGTTACATCCTGTATAACACCGGATTCCTACGGCATCTTGGAGTTATGCAGTGCACAACTTGCAAAACTGTATGTGGGGCCCTGTTTGCTATTGTGAGGAGAGGCATGGGCTTTTGTAATAGACCAGCTAGGAAGCAGAGGGGAATTTAGTCCCTTGGTGATTTTCAGACTGTAG